TTTAAGTATCAATATTAAATCTTCTAAAATAGCGAACCTGTGTATTTAACGGTAGGGATATTTGTGTGTGTGTATGTGTATTTGTGTGTATGTATGTGCACATGTCTAAACATTTACCCCAACAATTAAATTAGATATTGTTTCTAATAGTCTATCTCTACCAATCACAATGTAAAGACAACACTTGATATTTTTTCCAGTTTGTCCAATACATTACAAAGTTGCAGATCATTTTTCCAGTATTTTCCCCACTCAATTAAGATATTCTTCTCATTTTTCCTTCTCTCTATTCTAGTCCTATGCATCCCCTTTAGTATTATTTTTTCTTATTTGTTCAGATATAAAAACATTATTAGGCCTTTAAGGAAATTCTTGACAGGAGACTCCAATGACAAGAAAACACATCGTATTCTCCTTGCATTTCCTTGATGGGGTTTATCTGATAATTCTTGTTTTTGTCACTGGCTGCTTTGGGTTGGTAAAGTCTCTCCCTGTTAAAAGTCAGAAAGTTGAAGTTTGTAATCCTGATGGTTATGTCCAAAACTGAGTACCCAGATTAAACCAGGATGAGCTGAGTAGGGTGCTCACTGATGTCTGGGCTTGTCTCTGTCTAAGGAACTGAGCATTTGCGGTGCACAGAGGCTGGTGGCAGTATGGTTGTGATCGTGGTATCAAGGAGAGTGCTCGCGTCCACAAACTCCACAGGTGTGGTGGGGTCACGGTCTCGTCTTCAGACCGGTTAATCCGAGGACAACACATTTCTCCTCTGCTCACACCACCACAGGTTTACTGTTCTTTGTGCAGAACCCTGTGGGTGAAATCAGAATAAGCGATCTGAGGAGGGAGGACGTGGGGGAGGAGTAACGTGTCCATGGCAGGATGCCCAAGGCAGAGACCGTAATTGGGTTCTTCCGAGAAGAAAACAAACACAGTAACCAAAAATAGAACAGCTGAGTGTGTTCACTAGGTCTGGGAGCCTTAATGGCATTATTTCAAACAACCACAGCATTGCATAGTACTTTCTTATACTGTGGGGTGATAAAACGACAAAACAGATGGCTGTGATCAAGGGAAACCAATTGCATGGTCCTTTCTGGCAAGTCGCCCAACAGAGACTTGTGACAGCGCCGGAAAGGAGAGCTGAGAGCTGGCTTCCAGGACTCTAGAACTCATGGTAAGCCCATCTCTGGCGGGAAAATTGGCTTTTTCCATTCTTGGAGTAGACTTGTAAGAATAATCAGGCAAGTTTTGCAGAAATGGAAGCAAAGACATAGGTGCATTAGAGCTGTTTGCTGAAGAAACTTGTTTTCATAAACTAGGGCTACAGAAATATTTCCAGTCCAGAGAGTTGAAATTCTTCAGTTGACATACTTATTAGTATTATTTTCATTATTTCTAGCTAGACTGATTTAGCTAATGTAATTTTCCGTAAAGTTATAGGATCTGGGTGAACACAAGGGGTTCTTACATTTAGTCTCATATACTTTATTACAGGTCAGGATAGCATAGACTGACTGTGCCTCTGCTCCCCGGAATTTCATCAAACAGGGTGGTGTTGTGTATGTGTGTGAGAGAGAGAAAGAAAGAGATTGAGAGAGAGGTGTTATAGAGTATCTTCTGAAAAAGAGACACAGACTGCTAGCCTTTTCAAACCTGTCTGCAAGATTGGTTGGAATTTCATTTGCAGGATCAGGTAGGCGATGGTGGTGATGCAGATCAAACCTCTGTTTTTATAAGACGTAGGTCTAGACGATGTGTAGAGAGGTGAATAGAGATGAAATGCTAATTGTTTACCTAGGATCCTATACATTGCAGGAAAAAATGTATTCGGAGAAGAATCATGCTTTTTTCCTTATTTCTTAAATTTTTATTTTTAACTTTATAATTGTTTACCTGCATGACTCTGTACAGATACAGATAAAGTTATTAAACTCCATTTAGCAGTCAGTTTTCCCTTCAGTCAAGTTTATTTTGTAACCTTTGTTTTGTCATCAGTGGATCAAGCTTTATTTAAATCAGAAAGCCAAACGCACTGCCCTCGAGTCGGATCCGACTCATAGCAACCCCTCCTTGGGTTTCTGACGTGGTATCACTACGGAAGTAGATATAGATATGTGAAAAATAGAAACTTATGCCAGAAAAAGAGATAGCCCTTACCCACCCTCATATAATTCACTTCCCTCTGTAAATGTTGATTTTTCTCATCTGGAAAATGAAACGGTCTGTAAAATCTCTTCCAGCTCAATAAGTATGAAGTTTATGTATGTGTAGAAGGGGTACAAGGATTTGAGAAATATAAAACGTAAATAAATATTTCAATAGATTTTTCTGTCTAAGCCTGTGGGTTTTTCTGATTCTTGAGAAGGAACTAGGGGAAATAAAATTTGCACTTACATACTTAATTTATATACTATGCACATATCTACATAACCTGTTCTGGGTTAACAAGATACCTGGCTTAGAAAGTGCGAGGAAGTGATCACCCCCGAAGAATATTCGTGACACAAATTATAAAATCGACAGCTTTAGTTCATCAAAAACAAAATACACTGTTTAATATTTATTGGAGCTGCAGTTTAAAGTAGCAGGCTTCTAGTATCTGGAATAATAGCCAAAAAAAAAAAACAAAAACAAAAAACGGTGACTTATAAGGTGAGAAGATTTTGTAAATTATATTTATGAGCTTCTGGGCCCTTGAATCCTGGCTCTTTCAAGATCTTTAGCACATTTATGAAGCACTTTGTATACATGAGTGCTGTTAGTGATAATTCTTCAGCTTATCTTACTATTGTATGTATAAATACATTCTTTTATATCTCTTTATTGCTGGGGAAAACAGAAATTGAAGTACCTTAGAAGTGAGTGGACCCAGAATTAGAATTCACATATTCTTGATGAAGTTTCAGGCTGTAACTTGGACCTTTTCTTGTGTTATTTAGAAAGAGAAAGAGGAGCTTGCCTAACAAATCTTCTCTCTGATTAGTGTCTCTGCATGCAATCTGGTTTTCAGAAATTCTTTTTGTATGACAGACATGCAAACAAGATCATTTCAAACACAACTTTATTTGTATTTCATAAGCAAAAATATGGGAATTAAAAAGAAATGTCTAATATATTGAATTGATTTCTCCTAAAGTATTTTGAGGCTTTTAAAGAAAGTATTAATGAAAACGTGTAAAACAGTCAGATGTTTGAGCAGGTATTAGGCATTGGCTATTTACAAATTGGGAGTTCTGGTGGCTTAGTGCCTAAAGTATTTGGCTGTTAACACAAAGGCTGGCAGTTCAAACCCCCCAGCCACTCAGAAGGAAGACTGGGCAATCTACTTCCATAGTGATACCGCCTCGGAAACCCAAGGAAATGTTGCTATGAGTTGGATCGACTCAAGGGCAGTGAGTTTGGTTTGATATTTACAAAGTAGGAAACAAAAACCCAAAAAAGTAACTAAATTGCTCTTGATCATCTACCTAGTTAGTTAATTAGAAACACCTGACTCCTAGACCAGTGTTCTTCCTACTATCAATCAAAAGCATCCTTTCTCAAATTCAGTCCATTGAATGTCTACTGGTGCCAGGTACCATTTGAGGAAGTGGAGACACAAAAAGCACTTCAGAAAGTTTTTGAACTCACAGTCAAATTGCAAAAAGGCAGGAAGGGGGCACATATCTACATGTCTACACATGTTCAAGGTGCAATGGGAAGAAGAGAGGAGGGCAGGAGGACTACCAAGACTTTGGAGAGTCAGGAAAAACTGCAGGAAGGAGATAATGCCTGAGATGATATTAGAAGGAGGAGTAGAAATTCTTTAAGTGGATGAGAGATAGGGGTGAGTTGGGGCAGAAAGCTTTCTAGGAAACAGCAAGTTGTTCAAAATGGCTGGAACACAGTGTTCAAGGGGGAAAGTAGCAGAAGGGGCTGAAAACCTAGGCAGGGGAAGATCACAAAGGGCCTTGTATGCCATTCTAGAAGAGATACTTCATTCCATTCTATTCAAGATAAAAACACAGGGAAAAATGACCAAAAATGTTGCTTTTTCAAATTTTACTTTGTTCTATGTTGGCAAATACAGAAAGTGAATCTAATTTCTTACATCACTAGGGGGCACCACAGTAAAACTAACCATTTTCTGGTTTCTTTCAAAGAGGTCCCATCCTTTCTTCCAGTGAAGAGTTAACAGAACATTTCTCAGGAAGTTAAGGACTCATTCACATATAAAAGAATGAACAATATGGGGGTGGGTGAGGGGTGGTGGTGGCTAATATTGTTTCTTATTTACACAGTAAGTATTTTCTAAATGAAAAATCTAGACATACATTCTGGTCTCAGTACCCGCAATGTGTTGTTGTTGTTATGTGCCGACGAGTTAGACCCAATTC